GGGGACAAGAGTAGAGAGACAGCTGATGAAACATTGAAACATTAACAGGAGAAAATTTTATAGAAGCAAACTGTCCATCGCCGTCAGTCATCGAACCCAGGACCTGTTGAAAGAGAGGCGAACACTGTATTATAGTACCTCTGCCTCTAGTGACTAGACCACGAGAGCTCCACTCGAAAGCTGTTAATAATCTAATAAAATATACAGATCTACATTAAAGGATAGAGAAGGCCTCTATACATTTAAATCCTTTTCTAATAAATGAAATAAGAAATATTTGTCTTTGTTGAAATTTGATAACAAAATTATAACGTAACAGTGTAGACACAGCGTGTACACCTCAGTTCATCTAGACTACATGTAAGAACTCATCTAAATCTCCAGAGACTATGTATGACAATAATAATAGGCCTACTTCTATATCAGTATTATCAGATCACCAGAATCTCTCTCTCTTATTTCAGCTCTCTTTGAATCTAGAACTGGGGTCTTAGGAACACAGAATGCTCCATGCTTTCTTGCCCCTCTTCATGAGGGTCCATTTCTTCACTCAGTGAGGGCAGGCTGATCGTCTCGATCATCAGCTGGTAATTCAATAGAGTAAATGAGGTGATTGGTGTCAAAGACATGTCCTGATCCTTTGGTTTCTTAGTCTAACTTAAAATAGTAGTAGGTGATCATCTAATGCTAAGTAACCTAAGTAATATTAGATCTAGATCTAGATCTAGACAGCCCTACCGCGATGAGACCAAAGATTCTCTTCTAGAATCTAGAGATCTAGTCATCTAGGGTAGGCTAGAAGAGAATCTTTGATGAGACAGTTGACCATGGGCACTTAATTAGCCCAGATCTAGAGTCTACATGATTTTCAAATCTAGATTTCTGTGTTTAGCCTATCGCGTGGTGGTCGATCTCAAGGTCTTTTACAACTTTTAAAATTTTTTTAAAGGGTGTCTCTCTCTTACTCTGATTATAACTGAATGAACATCCACTTTCGACTCGACTTCACCCAGTTTCCCCACTTCTTGTGTCTCGTCTTTCGGTGTTTTTATTTGGATAACATTTGTTTGAACTGTGAACTTTACTACATACTTTCGCACTTTGACCCTTGACCTTACTGTCGACATTCCGTACAGAAGCCCTGTGTCTATCTTTACAATCATTAGTAACGATAATGGATATATGTTTATTAAAATAACACAAAAAATTTTTTTTTGCTTTTTATTTCAACATAGTCGGTAACATCTGACCTGTACCAACAATTTTGATGAAACTGGACGGAATTTTTGGGGAATAATAAGTCATAGTTTTACTCCTAAGCTTCAATCATATTATTACAAACTCACATTGTAATTTTGGATGTCATAACGTACATACAACAACAACAAAAACAACAACAACAACAACAACAACAACAACAACAACAACAACAACAAACAACAGCAACAACAACATGTCCCTATACAAGTACATGTACCTAGGCTTTCTCAGTTGAAGGCCTAGGCATGTACATATATGAATGTTTAAAAAATTACTGCACATCTTTGGTCAGGAATCATCATGACGCTGTAACGAGGGAACTCGAAAAGGCATGACCCTAAAGCGCCGCTTCCAGACTTTCTATAAAGCAAAAGCCAAAATAAAGTGATTGAAAAAAACTTTTGAACAAAAACTGTAGGCGACAATAGGTCTATATCTAGAATAGACAACTCATCCAGGAACATGATTCACTTGTTCTTCTTATTTTACTTCTCTTGTTTTCCACTTTTTCTGTTTGAAGACTTTTTATATTATGTATATAAAAAACTCAAGTTGTTTTTTTCTATCCATCTTAATTTTCCCTATTATCTAGCCTCCATACCTGTCTTTATAAATGAGCTAAACAGAAAATAATATTTTAGAATGTTCTTTAAGTTTATTATCCTTTATTGCACTATTATTTATTACTTTCATGCTTGTTTTGTTTCTTTTGTGTTAGTTGGTCTTGATTTCTTTTTTCATCCGCTTTTTATGCTTGCTATGATTCTTCCCCCGTCCTCGCCTGCCAAAGATTCTCTACTACATGATCTTTGTGCCTACTGGATCTAGATTCTAGCCTAGATTCCTTTGGCGTCCGAGTCACACTGCATTAGGCGCCTGGCCATTCTGGAGTACCAGGGAATGAGACTGCAGACCCGGTATCAAAGACTGGAGCAAGCCTGCACCTGACAGACAAAGCCGCCTCTTTACAGACCTGCAGGGGGATCATCCAAGCCAAAAGCAGAGAAAAGCGGCTGAACAGATGGGCCAACGCCTAGGCCTTCTCAGGGGAGGCTGTATATCCAGGACGATTGGCTCCGGAATGGAGGCCGGGGTGGGCGACCTTATCTTGATAAGCTGGCCTCGAGACCGGTTCTTATCTTTTATCGAGGATCAATGTGAAAATCGTCAATTAAAAGCGAAAAGTGGCGGTAGGTAGATGCTCTAATACTAAAACGTATACAGGGGTGGAACATTTTTGCATTACGTTTTTGCGTGCCGATAGTGTAATAGTAATGTGTGTAGTCTGTAGTGTGTAGCCGTTTAGTCTGTCTAATCTCCTAGCCTCTTCATCGTTTCGTTCAGTGCTCTTGAGAT